TCCCCCCCCCCAAATAAAAAGTACAAATGGGTGTTGCTGAGTGGTGGGTGGCTCTTCTCCAGCCTCAAGGGCCTAAACTCCTTCTCTCTTGTTGAAGCCCTGGCAGATTCCTTTGCTCTACCTATCAACCAAGAAAAGTGAGAATTTTGCCTGAATGAAGCTAGTCCAAGTCTTTCCAAATTCCATAAATCTGGCTCAGCCAGTATTGCCCTTGACTTCAAGAAAGCTGCAAATAAAGCCTAACTGTGTGTCCAGGAAGAGAGAATGTACTTACTGGTGACATGGGATTTCCCTGCTACCTTGAGGAAAGTATGCAGAGTTCATTACAGCTGTTGCCAGACACAAGTCCATTTGCTTACCTCTTGAAAGCCAATATCCATAAACAGAGTTGTTGGGAAGGAAATCAGGTTTATTCAAGGGCTGGCCCTTAGAAGATGTTATCCTGTAAGGAAGGTGCTGTCATTCTCAAAGCTCTGCCTTGGGGAACTCTGGTACACAGAAGGGCTTTTCTAGGGAGAGAAAGGAGGTGAATTGACAATGAGTAGGAAGGCTACCTACAGACTTTGTCATTCAGGGGGCATTCCTTTTCCCCCTCTGGAACATCACAATTGGTCTTGACCTCCTGATGCTAGTCACAAACCTTTTCCGAAAGTTAAAAGTCACAGCAGTGTATATGCTTTGTGTTAGTTGGTGCACAGAATCAAAGAATAAGGAGGGAGTGTTACACATTCTTAAGGTCACCAGATGTTCTGGGTTCTGTAAATCTAAAGAAAGATTATTTAGTAATTAACATCTTAATCACTAAGCCATGGCTTTTCTTTAGAATTTAGAATGCTAGGCAAAGGAAGGGGAGCAAAAGTAACTCTGCCAAGGACTACCAAAGTAGTGGCCTCTGCTGCCTAGCCACAGAATCATCTAGGCTTAGAGCCAGAAAGAACCCAAAGACTGCTGACTAGGCATTGTAGTGTCTTGATTACTACAGGAACTCAAAGGAAATATACCTGGGTTTGAATCTCAGCTGTTTGCTTCTCTCACAGTATAACCTTGACCAACACGCTAAACTTTTCAGATGTCATCTATCTTCATGTAAGACAGGTTTGAAAGGGACCCTAACCGATGGGGCTGGTGTGAGGATTAAATAAGAGTGCCTCCCAGGCCTGATGCTTATTATTACCTGCTGATTTTTAGGGGTTATTTTATGAAGTCCAAACTCTTTGTCTTACTAGTGAGACAGCACTTGCTCAAGGTCAAGTAGAAAATGAGTGGGAAACAGATCAGGTGTTAGTTTCCAGTTATCCTCATAATTCCACTCTGTATCTTTGCCCAGCTGGGAATAGAAGTCCCTTAGGACAGAGACTGGGGACATTCTTCCACCCCTCTGAACCCCCAGGCATGCCCAGCCATCATTTCTGGCAGCTCAAAGGTCAATCTATGCCATCATTCTCAGAGATAAGGAATAAATGCAAACTGTTTAAAGGGCCATTTTCCCCCGAGTCTAAATCTCCCTGTGCCTCAGCTGGCTGCCCAAAGAAGCAATTTAGCAAATGCATTTTATCTCAGAAGAAATCTATCTTTTGTTTCTGTGACTTGCTTGTCAGGAGCCCTGTGTTCCCCCTGTGGCTGGAGAACTGGGTGCAGTTTGGGACCTGTTAATAAAAGTGCCTCTCCCAGCTCAGTATCTCCCCAGAGACATTATACATTCCCTGGATGAAAGAAGGCAGTGATTAAGCTGCTAGTGGCTTCCTCTTGAGATAACATCAACCACACAGTCAGCAATAAGCAAGCCTACATTAGAATTTGAAAAGGTACGTAATGCAATCATAATCACTTTGCTTAGGTTTGTGTAGCACTTTACAGTTTACAAAGCACTCCTACACACATTAGCTCATTTGAGAAAATTGCAGGGAATCAGTTAACTACAAAAAAGTATAAAGAAGCAATAAAATTTATCTTCAAATCCATCACTCAGAGAAAAAAAAATCTTTGTTAACCTTGTAATGTTCCCTTCAATCTATTTTCTAGTGTCTTTCCTTTGTGTTTTTGCTATATTGGGATCATACTGTATATTCCATTTTATACCCCACTTTGTTCATGGAACATTGCATTTTCTGCTATCTCATTGATCCTCACATTCGTCCTGGGGAAGAAATAATTGTATTATGAAATGTCCCTGGTTTGAGGTCCAAAGACTGAGCCTCAGTTTCCTTCTCTATATAAGAGATGGGTGCTAAAGGATTAAACTAATAAATCGATGTGCCTGAAAACCTTAGTACTGCACCTAACACACAGATGTGCTGTCCATATCAGGTGAGCAAAGATGCACACCACAGTGGTGGTGATAATGGTAGTACTCATACTGGCAGATAGCATCTGGTGGTTTAGACTCCTGCTCATAGGTATATCTCACAGCATGCCTGACGCACTTCCACAATAGCTATACGGTAGACAGACCAGACAATGATATTCCCCAAACCCTACCCCTGAAGCACAGCAATGGCCTCAAGTGAGCATGGGATGTGGGTACCACTGAGTCACATTATTGGAACCACAAAGTTCACAGACAGAGACCACTTATGTCCAGCACTGATGGCCAACACTGCTAGGGTAAGCTGCTCTTTGGTAGTTCTGGGGACACTTTCCTTGGTCATGGCTCCATTTCTTAACATGCTGTGGCCAAGGACATCAGCAGAGGCTTGTGGAACTTACAGGATGCTCTGGTTGTTATAGATCGTAGGGTTTCAAAGCTGAGTGGGACACAGCTTGGTTCCTCAGGAACTCAGTGTGTGGGTGCTCTTTAGACAGTGACGCCTGAAACCATTTACCTTGGATCCTCTATCCCTGACTCAAGGGTGTATACCTGTTTGTATACAGGAAAGGAGAATCCCCCATATACCTGTGCATGACTCCTGTCTGCTCACTAATGCTCTTTCTTATGTGCTAAAGACAAACAACTTGTCCAGAGCCTCCAAAGAAAGAACTGTTTCTATACCAGCAAGGGCTTGCTCTTGTTTACACACACACATCCACATGCTCCCATGGATCTGGAAACCATGTACCCTTGCCAACACATTAAAAACACACAGCAAAAGCAAAGAAAGGAAAAACCAACCCTGCTCTTGCAAAAACTTCTGAGGTGTTTCTTTTCTGAATGGGAATAATCGTCTTTGTTGTTTCGCAATGTGGATGAGAAAGGGAAGGAGTTGCTTAGACCTTATGGTCTATGAGCTCCTCAAGGAGATGGATTTGGCAATCTGCTATTCATGAGTCAGAAGGACACCTTGCTGGTCCTACCCTGACCCCCAGGCCCTTGTCTATAAGTGTCTCTAGGGGCTTAGGTGTCTCCTTTCCTACTCATGTCATAACAGCTGTGACAATAGGAGATATCTAATGTATCATCCCTTCATTCCTATCCCTGTACTCTTCATATGCACCACCCCCTACGTTCCTCCCCTGCAGCTACTACAACTGACCCCTTTTTACCACTGAGGACATTAAACCCAGGAAGGTTAATAACCCATTCACCCACCTAGGTCATCCAGGCAGGAGAGGGAGAGATAGAACCAATAAACCTTAACCCCTGACCTTTGTCTTCTTCTTCACCTGAGGCCAGATGACCATCCTCCCTGGAGAGACAGCATGGTAATGGACTGCACACACACAGGTGCAACCTCAGGAACTTGAAGGTGTCTTCTCAGCTCTCAGGTGAGGCTATCAGTGCCTCCCCAGTAGACTCTGAAGAGGATGAGAAGTCACACACTCTTGGCACCTGTGCAGAGAGAGCCTCGTGCATGTTGGTCTGCTCACCAAAAGTTTCCAACCATCAGAGACCCTTCAATGCAAATATTGGGGCAAATAATTAAGAATAGACTTATTGGTCACCTATGCATCTAATTATAGGACACAAAAGAAAAATTGAGAGTACAAGACTTCCCAGTGATCACAGTTGGCTCATATAAAGCAAATGTTTTTCATGCTTGCCACATGTGAATCTTGAGCACTGGGCATGGTGAAGTTACTCTTCAGTAATTGCCCTCCAACTTGGCAAGTGCTATCATTGAGCATTGGAGTGAGGTTCTTTCTCAGGAAGAAATAGACCATCTGTACCTGGGAGGGCCAACAAAGGCCTCAGAGAAGTTGTGTCTAGAATGTTGAACGGGAACTAGAAGGTTCCCAGGTGGAGAAGAGTGGGGTAAAGTAAGGGAGGGCATGGTAGAAAGAGAAGACCATGACACAGAAGAAAGTCATGGAGATGTGGAGGGAAGTTCACTGGTAAAAGTGCAGCCTGTGTTGGGTGACGGGTCAGAGAAAGCAGTCTATGATTGTCACCAAGAAAACCTGAATGGGGTGACAAAAGGGGTCATTTAGCACAGATTGTAAGTGGAACAAGATTTCTGCCTCCTGGCCAGGCATGGTGGTACATACTATAACCCCAGCACTCGGGAGGCTGAGGCAGGAGAATCAGGAATTTGAGGCCAGCCTGGCCAGTGTAGGCTGGGCAGCTGCAGACCTACATATCAGTCCTTGTGTATCTCATGCAAAGTCCTTAGTTCCTTGGTAGTAGGTTCTCCTGCTCTGTTCACCAGATGAGGTAGGAAGAAATAGAGCTAAAAGACTTCTTCAACAAGCAGATTGATGAAGTGAGACTTTCAGAGAATTTGGGGAAAAAAGAGAAAAAATGTAGACTCTGATTAAACTTAGGTAAAGTTAATGTCGATGTGTTTGGTTTTGCTTTCTACCACCTGACACAAAGACTGGAATATACAAATGCCAAGTCTCCAGGAAAAACACTCTTGCCAGTTCATGATGTGCTGGTGGTAGGTTGTATATTTGCCAGTGAGCACCACATGCTTCTTAGCTAGAGGGGGCTCATCGCTCAGGTGGGGAACCACCTGTTCTTCATGATCATCTTTTTTTAAATCAAATTAAATCTGACAGGTAAATTAAAATGGTGATCCTCTCTGCCTTTGTTAGATCATCAACATCATCCCAACAGGTAATAAACTCGGGAGAGGCAGAGGACAACGGGCAGTCTCCTGGCCCCTCAGAGCCTTTCCTCCTGTCCCCAAGCCTTTCCTCTTGCCTTGCAGCTCCAGAAGCAGCTGTCAGAACTTGATGAGGACGACCTGTGTTACGAGTTCCGGCGAGAACGTTTCACCGTCCACCGCACCCACCTGTACTTCCTGCACTATGAGTATGAGCCCGCTGCTGACAACACGGACGTCACTCTGGTTGCTCAGCTCTCCATGGACAGGTATGACCGAGAGACCACCTGCCACACAGTCTCCTCACTGCTGCCTTTTGCCCTATGGGTCAAATGGAGAATAACCAATGGCCTCATAGGCTTAGGATATTGAAGTCTGACAAAGTCAGGCTTGGTCTCATCCCCTTCCAGACCTGCCAGCTGGGGACTCTCATCTTTCTGTTGTTCTTCATGCTGCTGTAGCTGTCGGTTGAGGATAGCATAGGGGGGATGGTTGATTCTTTAGAGGTAGTGTCCTACTGAGATTTATCTTAAAGCAAAGGGACAATGTCTAGACTGGAGTCCCCATGGCCCCAGGACAGTCGCCATTTCTTTTCTTCATCCATGTCTTGATGCAACATTCATGGAACATTTCCAGCAGGACTGACACAAGCCCGGTCCTTCTGCAGTTTACAGCCTGATGCATTGATTCTCAATCTTGGCTGGGGACACATTGAATCACCTGGAGAGCTTTTAAAACAAATTTATGTCCAGACTTCATGGCAAACCAGTTACATAAGACTTTTTGTGGGTGGAGAACTTCCCATTGTTTTGTTTTAAGCTTGCAGTGTGCAGCTAAGGCAAATGGTATAAGCTGCAATAGACAATTAAATCAAATTACAATTACAGCAAGTGCTTTGAAGGAACTGGGCAATATAACCAGTGCCCATTATCTAAAGATAATGTGGTCAGGGGAAGTCTCTCTGAGAGGGACACTTCTGTAGAGACCTGGAGTACAAGAAAAGGACTCATGACAGGGAATGAGCCTGTCACTGAACTGAGTCAAAAGCTGCACAGACTGAGAATAGAAGACACAGAAGTAGAGAAAGCTGGCTCTCCAAGATACAGCCCATGGACAGAAAGGACAGCAGGCCCACTGCAGACCATAGCCAAGTGTGGTTAGAGTTTAAGGCACAGAAGTAGGGAAGAGGAGGGCAAAGGGACCTGACTAGGTAGGCAGGGGCTGGATTACAGAGGCCCTAGGCAGCCACCTTTCTGGCTTAAATATGTCAAGCACTCAGTGAGGCTCTGTAGGGATTTGACCTAGACCAGTGTCCTAGAGCACCCTTAACTTTCTCATGCTCCTTTGACTTCTCCCTCACTCTCTGGTTTGACTGCCCAGCCTTCTCTCCATTACTGCCAACCATGCAGCTCATCAGTAAGTCACTGCCATACCAGCCCTCTCTTCCCACCTGTTCTTCCCCGCCTCCCCTCCACAACACCTAAGACCTACTTCTCCATGTGAGTCCTAATCAATGGTCTAGATGGTCTCCTGGCCCCCAGGCAGCATGACTACACTCAGACCCTTCCCTGAGGGTCAGCATATCCCTGAGGCTCAGGACTGTGGCCTGCACAGGTGAGTGAGTTCCATGTAAACTCAGCTGCTGTCACTCCAAGCAGCATTGGTTCTCCTCTGTGACATCCACACCTCCCAATCATTCAGTCAATTACTCACCAATAAGACATTCTAAATCAAGATTAGTGGACAGTGGCTAGCAAAGAAATTAGCATACTTTCTAATCAGAGTAAAAAGTAACACTGCACAAGACTCGCTTCCTGGATCAAATACTCTAGGTTCTTTGTGGCTCTTGCGTTTCTTCACTTGGCTTTTCAACAACTCTCTTCACCTCTCTAAGCCTCAGTGTTCTTATCTGTAATATGGAGATAATAATGACATCATTATCCTAATTATCCCTAAAGTTGTAAAGATGAAATGAAAGAACCTGGGCCCAGGACTTATCCCTGATGTATACTCCGCAGGCACCAAAATCTTAACCTGTGTGATACTGGGTGAGAAGGTGGTAGCTACATCTAAAGACAAAGAGCTGTGGTTCAAATCCCACCCACCCCTACTGTCCTCAGCTGGTGATTTTGGCAAGTCACTTAACATCCTTGACTTTCCTTATCTCCTGTAAAATAGGGTTACAAATACTTCCCTCAGAAGCTGTTCTCCAGTGGCTCACTCCTATAATCCTAGCTGCTTGGGAGGCTGAGATTGAGAGTTTCACAATTCAAAGCCAGCCCAGGCCAAAAAAGTTTGCGAGACACCTCAACCAAAAGCTGGGTGTTGTGGCACATGCCTTTCACCAGCTAAGGAGGGAAGCTTAAAATAGATCATGTTCCAGGCTGACCTAAGCACAAAGTAAGACCCTATCTCCAAAATAACCAGAGCAAAAAGTGGCTCAAATGGTAGAACACCTGCCGAGCAAGCACAAAGCCCTGAATGCAAACCCTATTACTGTCACAAAAGAGAAGGAAGGGAGGAAGGGGAAGGGAGGAAGGGAAAGGGAGGAAAGGAAGAAGAAAGAAAATTCCCTCAGAGGGTCCTGCTTGTGATTAAGGAGAGACTCTGTGAAAGCCCTTGGCATGTGCTTGGCATCACTAAGCATGGCTTGGTCTAAACACCCGTATTGGGATTCTGTACACTGTAGGCATGTAAGAGAGGAAAGCAGAAGGAGGAAAAAACCAAACAGATCTGGACTCAAAATCCAGTTGTACTACTTCCTAGCTGTATGGGTTTGAGCTAGACCCTTAGTCTTCTTGAGTCTCACTGTGAAGTGGCAATGATACTGTCAAGTTCTCAGATTGTTATCTGAACCCTATAGAATAGGAGGATATAAAGTACCCGATAAAGAGTAGATGTGAACATTCATTCATGATTTTTGTACCTCCATTATGCTGGCTGAGACTTATAAACCAGAAGGAGGAAATGCATTTGGTTAACAATTCAGACCCATCCTTTGGTGCATGCCTGTTACCAACTGGAGCATACAGCAAAACCAAGCCTGTCCTTCCACTGTCAGCTGGAAGGATCTTCCTAGTCTGGGCCACAGGAAATCTGGCAGGACCTTCCCTTATAGCCACTTGTAGAAAGTCCTGGCCCATTTCCATCTGCAGCCAACACTAAACACAGAGGCCTTCCCTTCAAAGCACACACATCCCAAACATACCAGGCCTGTGATAGCCCCTAACGCATGGTTACAATATTGCCATACAGACAATACCTCAGAGAACCCAAGGAATTGTTAGATTCCTGTGAGAGATACCAAGCAGGACACAATCAAAACTTATAAGGTGGCACCATAAATAGATGCAGAAGGCAGAAATTCCTCCAGCCACTTCCACTCCATCCTATGCATCCAATTATGATGCAGCACACTGACTGGTGCCTGCTGGATTGATTTTTAATTTAAGAAACACTTTGGATGTGTTTGTAAACCTTTAAGTCAGAAGTAGGCCCTACGTGAATGCCACAGTGAATTAGGGGAGCAGACCTGCGGGCCCCTGTGCCTCTCCCTCCGGAATTCCATTCAGAAAGAATGAGTGTCACCAGCTACAGATGTGGAACCAGCAAGTATACATCTCTCAGCCACTTGGGATCCTTCGCAACCATCCTACCAGAGAATGGGAATGGTTAGAAGGACAGAGGGGGCTGCTCAAGTAGGGTGGTATTGCATCCCATTCTCTGACAGCTGGCAAGGGAGAAACTTGTTCTCCAATGTCCCTTTGACAAAGATGTCACAAAACTGACTGTAGTTATAGGCATCGTGTGACTGATGGGTCTGCTTTGCTTTCTGCAAGCATAGGAGAGAGAACCTGAAATACAAATCCTTGGCCCCCCACCTAGAAACTCCACAGTCCCAGAAATTTGCTTTAATTAACCCTCCTGGGCATGATTGCATTTGAAAGCACCAGCCAGCCCAGTTCTGGAGAGTGAAAATAATTCTTTCTCCCACGTGCTGTCCTCTGGTCCTGCTTCTTGCTTTACCACACTATGTTCCTTTTTTACTCCAGTGCTGTTGTACTTGTTGAGAATCGGGAATCATTTCCCCAGACTTTCCCTAAAACAGATCCTGCCTTCTAGCTAGGTTTCTTACTCTATTCTGGCTGCTGTAACAAAGTCCCATGTGCTGAGTGGCTTCTTTCTCACAATTCTGGAGACTGGAAAGTACATGATCGAGTTGCTTGCTGGCAGATACAGGGTCTGGTGAGGACCCTCTTCCTGCTTCCTGGTTCATTAGAGGTCTGTCTTCTTACTCTGTCCCCATATGATGTATGGGGTGAGGGAGCTCTCTGGGGTCCTTTTTATAAAGATATTACAAGGCTCTGTCTTCACGACCTACTTAGCTCCCAAAAACCTCACCTCCTAATGCCATTACCTTGGGGGTTGGAATTTCAGCATATGAATCTGGGAGAGGACAACAGTCATACAAAGGTTCCAGGTCTCAATTTCACTTCTTCAGAAGGGCCTTCCCTGGCCAGCACTTATCTCTATTCTGTCTCCCTGTCCTGTTGCCTCTCTTGCCCATAGTCTGAGTTCATCTCAGTTTGTTTTTGTTTTTAATCTCCTCCCAGTACTAGAATACAACCTCCAGAAGTGCAGGAACCTTGTCTGCCTAGCATCCTTGGCACATTACAGATAATAAATGTGTGTTGGATGAATGCATGTCTGAGAGATAGGAATAGAACCCAAAGAGAAAATTATAACTGTCAGTTACCAAGTACCAGCTGCATACCTAGCTTAATGCCAGACACTTCATACAATCATCTCATATCAAACCAAGTTAGAAAATTGATCATTTATCTCTTGCTGCTTAACAAACTATCCTGAGTCTTAGCAGCGTAGGGAAGCCACCATGATGAGCTCACTATTCCATGGACGGGCAGTTTGGGTTAAGCTCAGCTGGGACTATCCCCGTGTCTGCAGTCAGCTAAGCAGCTCCTCTGGGGGTTGATGGGGACACCTAGACCATGAAGCTCTTCATTGAGCTAGGTTAGGTAGCTCAGTGGTGACAGTCACAGGGTTCTAAGAGCATTAAGCACTTTTTAATGCCTCTGCTAATGTCACGTTTGCTAATGTCCCATGGACAATGCAAGTCACATGGCCAGGCCAGAATCAGTGTGGAAGAGTATTAACACAGTACAGAGCGAGTGGGGGGGGTGATTTGTAGCTGTTTCATAATCATTATCCTCAGTGTGCATATGTGGAGGTTGAAGTTCAAAGAACCATCACCACTTACCTGGTTTGCTGAGATAGCTCAGGTTAAGTCCAGGACTGTGACCCAAAACCCATAGCTACAGCCATGATAACACCAGTGTGCAACCTGCCTTGCTGCTGTGTGCAGGTGAGAGCATCTGGGCCGCCTTGTTGAGTCTTAAGTTCCCCACTCCAGTGGCCATCTGCCTCTGCATGGGTAGTTCCCCCAAATGTTCTAGAATTCCATTGAGCCTGGTCTGTAAGGTTTCTGACTTGGCCATCTCTCCGCCTTTCCTTCATAAATTAGAACTACACAGGGCTTCCTGTCTTAGTGGGGCTCGCTGAATCAACTCCTGCCTGTTTTACATCTATACCAGAAGTCCTGAGCCTTTCTTTGCTTTCCCTGCAGCAATAGGAAGCAGCAGTGAACTGTGAGAAAGTGGAAATAAGAGACAGAACTTCTAGACTTAGCTCCTCCATTGGCTCACTCTGTGCTCTTTGAAAAACCACACCCCCTCTCTGAAGCTTCTTCTTTCATCATAAAAATGGCACAGTCAGACGGAAAAAAAAAATCTCTTAAGATTCTTTCCACACCAACAGTTCTGAGGTTGCAGGATTGATCTTTGTCTCTTGAAATATTCTTCATTGGCCCAGTCCTTGCTGTGCCAGGTACACTGCCTTCCTATCTAGGAGACCAAAGAAAGAGGCACACAGAACTTTTCATCATCAAGAGCTGCACAGGAATGCATCTTCAGGAATGTGTGTCCCACCCACTCATCTTGTGTGGGACAAGAGAGTGGTGGACCTTTGAGGCAGACTCCAGGAGGGACTGAAGAAGGGGAAGGAAGAGAGAGAATTAACACTTTTATTTGGAGAAGCTGGCAACAAGAGGAAGAGATTTGGGTCATTATTCTCATCCTAACCCAGTCTAGCTATATCAAATATTGGTATGGATCCTGGGCTTTGGGGTCAGGCAACCTGGGCATGAGCCTACCTCCTTCTCTTTACAGCTGTGTGGCTTGCAGAAGCCACTTCACCTCCTTGAGTTTCCTCTCCTGTAAAATGGTGATGAGAAGCTCAATTGTGTAGAGTCCCTAGGAATGGTAAATGTAGTAACAGCCAATATAGCTGACACCTGGCAAGCAGCAAGGTAAGTGTAAGAGATTCATTATATTATTATCACATTTTGTGTGTCCTCTTCCCTGCTAGAAACCTCAGGCTGCTGCTGTTATTCAGGTCCCCTTTGGGTCCCAGCTAAGAGGTCAGTTCGTAAGAAGAGACTGAAAAGGTTGGAGCTGGTGACATAAACACAGAAATGGTTTGCATCACCCTTCATTCTCACTTGCTGAGGCTCCACAGAACAACATCTGGCACCATTTCCTGTAAAGCTCCAATGAGTTTTCACATTCACAGCACCTTTCTGCTGAGAACTTTATGTACTTTGTCTGTTTTCACACTAAACTCTTAGCAGAACTTGGAAGAAGAGCTGTGCCAGATGGGGTTTGCTCCCTGTCTGGAAAACGCAGAGTCAAAACCCAAGTCAACGGAAGAATCCAAAGCCAAGCTGCCCTCTCTCTCTGTGCCCAGTAAATCCCACCTCCTGCCTCCCACTTCCTCTGGCAGATCTCATGTCCACATACAAGAAATTATTCTTTCTCTTTCTCTGCTACTCTGAGTGGGTTTGTACAAATGACTCTCAAAGTGTAGAGTTCCTCTGTCCCACCATTATACAGAAGATGGAACTGAGGTGCAGGGGGTGGGGAGAGGTCATTCAAAACCCTGTATCCTCAGACTCTAGGAAAAAGCAAGGCCAGCAGAGGCTGAACGCCATCTCCAGTGAGAATAGGCATCCGATAGAATGTGGTGCCTTTAAAAAGTGGCTTTGGCCATTGTGGTTAGCAGGCCTTGTAAAGGATGAGAAATGGAGGCAGAAGAGGGCAACACCAATTCACAGAATTACTGAAAGAAAACTCTGGAGGTCCATGGAGGAAGCCTTTTGAAAGGAGATGATGGGCCTGTTTCTTTTGTTTAGAAGCATGGAATCTATTTCCTGGTAACTGTCCAAATAAAGCGGGCATTCTGACCAGGAGTCTGTTGATTATATACCTCTTGCTGGGAAAGGGAAAAAAAAAAATTGAAATAGGCTTTTGCTGTTTCTTAACCATAGATTTTATGTACCAGGCACTTCTGATGCCTCTGAAAAAAATATCTTTATAGATTTCTTGTCAAATCATTTTGCAGAAGCCTCCCTATTGGAAGTACCTTTTGTCTTTTCACTAGGCTCTGTTCTTTCCTCCTCCCTACTCCCCTTGGCTCAGTCTTCTAAGTAACCTTGCAAAGTTGGCCAAGACCCTGGGTCAGTAAGTGCTCTGAAAATTGAACACTGTACCATCCCAGGTACACTTTTGTTCCCAACATTCATATGTTTCTCTGTTCCCTTTGCCAGATACACCGTTTATTTATTGCCAACTCTAAAGCACCCTCAAGGTACCTGTCTATACATGCTGATTGATAAATCCAAGAATCAAAGTGGGTGCCTCAATTCCTTTATCTGGAAATTGGGGAGCGTGACAGTGCTCTGAGTGCTGGGAGAATTCTGAAAGGTTCCTGGCACACGTGAATGCATCCATAATTATAGTTGTTATTTCTCTTGTTGTTACTGCTTGTTTTAATCCTCCTTGGAAGTCAGGGCCCTCATTGGTCACTGAAGTTGAGGAGATCAATAAAGCTGTGTTATATCTTTCATGAGAAAGAACAGGAGTATGGACAGCACTAGAATCTTTAGATCATTTACTGTCATTACACACGTGCTCACCCCACACCATTTCTATTGGTCTGGTTCCTATTGCAATAACAAAATACCTGAGTGAGGCTGCATACTTATAAGGAAAACTTTTACAGGCTATAAGACCAAGATTGGGTAAACCCCATTGTTCAATCTCTGGTGAGGGCCCCCTGGGCTGAATTAAACATGGCAGAGATGCAGGAAGAGAAACGCTTACATGCAGAAGAGGGAGAAATCCCTTAGTGAGACAGGATGCCCAAGGATTCAAGGATCAGGCTTGTTTTTTGTTAAACCCACTCTCTTGAGAACTCACTGAGGTCCCACAAGAACTACATTAATCCCTCCAAAGGGTGGCACCCCCAGTGACCTAACCACCTTCCACTAGGCCCCATCTCTTAAAGGTTCCACCACCTCAACACCACCATGCTGGGGACCAGGCTTCCTGCACATGAAACTTTGACAGACAAATGACATCCAAACAATAGCACCACTGAGAAGTCTGAGGCTTGTAGTGGGATATGACTGTATAGCATATGTTCAGTTGGAAGCAGACAGACTAGAATCAGCAAGGTAAGTGTTTTTAATGCCCATTTTATAGGTAAAAGCACTGAGTGAATTTAGAGAGGGATTTGGATTTGCAGTTGGTTGGCTAATGGAGTCAGAGGCCCACAGGTGGTCTGGCAGGCAACTCAGAGATGGGTCCTGAGTCACACACGCTGCCTTCCCTTCTCTTCCAGACTCCAGATGCTTGAGGCCATCTGCAAACACTGGGAAGGGCCCATCAGCCTGGCCCTTTACCTGTCGGACGCTGAGGCCCAGCAGTTCCTCCGTTATGCCCAGGGCTCCGAGGTGCTCATGAGCCGTCACAATGTGGGCTACCACATCGTGTACAAGGAGGGCCAGTTCTACCCTGTGAACCTCCTGCGCAACGTGGCCATGAAACACATCGGCACTCCCTATATGTTCCTGTCGGACATCGACTTCCTGCCCATGTACGGGCTCTATGAGTACCTCAGGTAAGGACCCCGGGGACCCAAATACTGCTGTTCTTCAAGCTGGAAGGCACAGTCATGTGGTACCAGACAAGAAGCCCCTCAGGACCACCCTGTAGACCAACACTTTTCGTGTATAATGGGGCAGCCAAGACCTAGAAAGGAGAAAGGACGTCCCAAGTCTACCCAGAGGCAGAGCTCCTGCCCTCATGCTGGGAAGTTGTGGTAGGCGATCCTGATGAACGGACTGTGCTCTAGGAAACACCCTTTAGTCTTCTAGTCACAGCATCTATGAAAACATACCATCCCTCTTCCAAACCTGGAACAGACAGACTTCCTGTAACCGTTTGGAAAAGACCACTGGCTATACTTTGAAACAAATCAAAGTAAGAACTTGCCTAACCTGTATTGAAGTACTTGCTGTGTGCCAGAAACTTCTGAATGCTTGACAAGCAGAATTCTATTCCCTCCCCACACATTCGCTGCCAAGGATCATATTGTTGTCTTCATTTTCCAAATGGAAAGTGGCAGGAAAGGGACATGAAGCTGCTGGGCCAAGTCATAGACTAGTGAAAGGAGAGCTGGGGTCAGACATAGCCTGTCCCAACTCCAGATCCAAGTGTCCAATCACCTGAGACTGTCTCTGTGGACCTCCATTGTCCTGTAACTCTCTCTGCAGGGGCTGGCGAAAGCATTCCACTGACGGAAGGCAGGATGGTTGTATTGGGAGTGGCATAATAAACAGTGTGAATTGAAAGGGACTAGAATTAATATAGCCCAAAGGTCCCATCATACACTAAAGTCACAAGGTATAAATGATCCAACAACATTTTTAAATGCTCTTCCTTTATCTCCTGTTATTGTCAGCATGAGTTATGTCTACAACCAAAAGAGTGCTTGCCTGGATCCAGGTATCATCAGAGGTGGCTTACACATCTTATTCCACTGGAACCACACATCAAGCTCCAAGAGAAAGCATAGCTGTCCCATTTTCCAGCAGGGAATAGTAGACTCATAGAAGCAGAATCCCCTGCTTCTGTCCAGAAAGCTTGTGGCAGTATTTGAACTGGTGTCTGTCAGACTCCAGATTTGCAGGCTATCCTGCTTCACACTTAGGAGGTGATCTGGGACTTTTCATTGCCTCAAGCAGGGCAGGATCTGACTTCTTTTTCTCTTGTTCCTTTGCCACCCCTCTTCCATCTGTCTGTCTCTCTCCCTCTCCTTTCCTGCCTTCTTCCCTCTAAAAGCACCAAGAGTCTTTAACCAGTGAAAGTATGGGTTTCACAAAACACCCCTTCCCCCACACCCTGCTCTCTTTAGAGCAAGGGAGGGCATTGTGTGTTCATTGTCCATCTTCTGGGTTGGTTTCCTTCCAGGGTGTGTTGGGTTGCATAGTATCAATCCCTTCCTCCATGAGTGAAGAGAAGCCCCAGCACCTCTGAGAACTATAGGGTGAGTGACCCCAGCACGTGACCCTCGGTCATGGAGGTGAGAAAGTGCTGTGTTGCAGAGCACTGTGAACCAGAATTCGCGGTCCCACTAAGTTCCAGAGGTGGAGATTTTCCCCCAGGTACAGCTCCAGATGGGGGCTGCAGAATTCCAGTATGTGTGGCAAGGGCGCCCCCGTGTGGCCAAATGGAGCTATCAGCCCTGTCTGATCCCTGCAGCTTCTGAAAATTGACTGCTTGAGGGATAATAGGCTGCTGAAGGAACAGATAGGTGCTAAGGTCCATCCTTGACCTGGACCAAGGAGAGAGAAGCTTCAGGACTGCACCTGCAAGTCCTCCAACTTCTCAGCTGGTCCTAAGAGCACCTGCTGGCCCTTCAGTTTGATGAGTTGAACATGAACTGACCCCATTGTAGTATTCTGTGGCTCTATGTTCCCATCCAAGGTTCATTTTACAACCTTACCAGATGGGCATCCTGTTTTTAAAACAATACGCCTAAGCAGACTTTTCTGTGCTATTCCCCCCTATGGTTTATTGATCAAAGACATTAGCAGATGCTACTGAAGACTTCACTCACGGTGAAGTAACGGGTATTTCTTTTAATTACCATTTTGCTTGGTGTAGTCACTGTGCATGGTTCCTCTGGGGGGAGTGTGAAATACTGCACATTGCTCCTCAAATTCCATGACTGACTTCTCAGACTTTGCCCAAGAGAGCTGAGTACAATTCAGTAGAGAGACCACAGTCCCATCTAGGAGTGATGTCTCCCCAGTTCAGTTCTCCCAGAAGATTTGGGAGTCTGGATTTTCATACAAGATATTATATATATTTAGTATTAGCAACTAATTTAAGATTTTTTTATGCTACTGAGCCAAACCAAACACATATCTAGGCTGCATTGAATTTTTCCACCTGCCCCACTCCCAGATTACCAGTTTGTAAACTCTGATGTAGATAATTCCTGGAAACCAGAATTTTGAGAACCAATAAGGAGCCCTACAGAAGCATGTACTAGCCTTTTTGTACAAAAACAACTGTATCAACTTGCCATTAGCTTAGAGAGAAGTCTGTCTAGTGAGTAATGGGGATCTGTTTCTGATCCACACATTGTCCATGGATATACCACATGACCAGTGTTAAACCATTTAGGATGAGGTTGAGGCTGTCATATCTGTGGAGCCCAACAAGACCAGCAACCCTAGTAGAGCCTGACTTCTTTAGCATCAGTAGCTAATGAAATGTGGTACCCAAGCTCCATTAAAATACTATTAGTAGAAAAGATGACAGTTACAATGTCTAGGACCCTTATCACATGCCAGAAATCCTGTGTCTATCACTTCTATTCTTCACACGTCTCTAGGAGGTGAGCAAACCAAGGCCAAACCGAGGCCCCGGGCAAGTCAAGTAGTCCCATGAGAGGAGAAGGTGGCCTTCCATCTGCACAGCCTGCTCTCTCCTCAAAAGGTGCCAGGCCACTCTATAACCACAAAATACCAAAGCAGGCTGACTGGCAGCCCTCTGCTTGTACCCAGACACTTACTCATATCGCCGCTCTCCAGGTTCTCCTTAGTTTCCAAAAAAAGTTCAGCATTGTAGCTCTCTGAGCGGTTGCTTAGCAACCAGCTAGTATTACAGCAAAAACAAACAGTGCAATTGAAAAATAATGAAATCAGTTCTATGCATGGACATAGCTGCAGAGTTTCACTGAAATCTCTCCCGCCCCTCCACCTGTGTCTGCTAACAAATGAGCTCATACATGCACATTTCTGGACTGCAGAAATGTTGAGTGGAGTTCTGTGGGACATGACTGGAGTCACACAGACCTTCCTTTGAGCCTAAGATCAACAGTACATATCAAGTGTATTACCTGCAGACTCTTGTTCCATCTCCTCAACCCTCCTTTTCATTGGTTAAAAAAGGGGCTAAAAATAGCTTCTTGCAGGGTCATAGCAGATGCTCCACAGGAGTTAATTTTCCGTCACATGGTATATCCAAAACACTTCTTTGCCAGGTCTCCACCCCAAGCCCTCACCTTGCAGACACACTGCCACCTTTACTATAGCCAGGTAGCTTCAGGGAACCATCTCAATTTCTTCTCATACCGAAATAAGAAATAGACAGAAATGGACCTATGATGAATTGATTGACGTTTTCTCATCTTTACAATGATGCATGAATGGTTTTCAGTAGAAACGTAACTTCAAACTTTACACTTTGATCTTTTCCCAGGCTAGCAATATACAGTACGATCCTTTTTATCCTGATGCTGAGCGGTGCAGAGACCACAGCTCCCAGTCAGCGTCAAGAAGGAAAAGCACCAGCACTTCACAGTGTGCTGTGTGGCTAACCTGTGATGATCAGGACATTAGCAGTACTAAATGCATTTTCCACAGGCCTATCGGCATGTATTCCTGAACAAAAGTCCGGCCACATCTATACTTCTTACTCAGCATTTACTTGGCCATGACCATGGTACTTAACCTCCCTCCCTTCCCTTATCTGGGAAATGGGTATCATACTGTGTCTTCTTCGTAAAGTGCTGGGAAGATTAAGGTAACAGTACCTGGAAAGCACCTAGCAGTGTTCAGAACATTCTTCTTTCTGTGGTACACATTGCATGCCTACCACAGCGAGGACTGTTGTAGGCACTGGAGCTGTAACAGTGGACACGATGGCCCCTTGCGAGGTTTACGCTCCAACTGCACCAGCTTCTGTTATTGCTGCTGTTATTATCATTATGGAAATGGAAATAAAAGATACAGGAGGTGAGTCTAACAGCAGATGACTGGATGTGGATAGGCAGCGCAGGCCTCAAAAAGAGCTGCTAGCTAAGATTAGACTTGAAGATGGACAGGTCCAAAGGCAAGCGACGTCGAGCACTTTCAAGGGACTCAGAAACAGTTGATGTGGTTGAAGTTCTGGAATAATAGAGGCGTTGGGGATGGGACAGCTGGACTGTTTCACAGCCATGAGACCAGGGTAGGTTTGTGGCCTCTTTCACCCAAGAATCTTCATCTCTGATCAATGCCTGAAGCTTATAGTGCCTCCACTCTCCTTGCTGCGTTTGTTTTCTGGGGGACAAATGTGCCACACTGGCAGAGACTATACTATGCAATGAGTAGGAATGACAAATCAGTATAATTCTGTTCTTACCAGGGGAAAAGCTAACTGCCTTCCCTTCACATTTTCCCTGGCACATAACGACTGCTCTATAAATACTTGTTGAGTGAGTGTGTAAATGTGAACCAGGTAGAAGAGGCACCATGCAAGGCTGACAGGCTGCCTGCCAAGAGATGCTAACCAGGTGGCATTTCCTGGGGTTAATCCATCATTTTAATTCTGCTAGATCTATAACATTTGATGTTCATTGAGCACTTACTGTATGCCACGCACTGTTACAAGCACCTTAGCAGGTATCTTTTCATGGAACCTGACCACAGTTGGTTTTACAGATGAGAATGTTCAGGCCAAGTCCTACACCCAAAGGCGCAGCATTACCGAATGGGCATGTGGCTTGTCTTGGGCTCATCCAGAGGAGTTCTGTGCTGGGCCTGTTTGTTGATCCAATCGTCTGATGTGCCTACATTCAACTTCATTATAATGTCATAACCATCCTTGCAGCCAGCATTTACCAGCCGCGGTCTATGCATGGACGAACCTCTGTGAGAGATAACCCATTCAATCCTTACAAAACCCACAGCACAAAAGGCCTCACAGAGAACAAAACTGGGCAGAGTCATCACGTGCTCAAGAGTACAGGCTTGTGAATGTACGATCTGAATCCAGCTGGTTGCCCCCCGGGCTGCCCTCCAAGCCACCCGTCCTATAACCCACAGCCATG